GGATGAAAAATAATATTGTCTTTCCAATTTGCTGTCTCATCATGACAATATTTGAGGGAAAATTTTATTAGATTATTGGTTGGAAGGTATTATTGCATAACAGCAGGGATAGCAATGTTATTATTTATGTATGTGCTACGCCACTGGCAAAATGGGTTTCGACCATCTCCCGCAGGAGCGCGCCACCATCCAGCGCGCAGCCTACCACTGCCGACCGGAAGACCGTTGAATTTTGAACGGTCCAATGGGATGCCTTCCTCTCGGAGCGACCAGGAGAGAGGCCGGAAGAAGCTACCATTTTGACCATAACCAGAAAATCTGTTCGGTATAGACAATTTTTCAATTACGACAGTTTCTCATGAAATGTACATACAATACATTGAACAAAAACATAAATGTAATCAATAAAAATACAGTCCACTATACACAACAATTTATCTACAATAAATTGTACATCTGCCGTAAAATAATCCTCGAAAGAAGCGCTAGGTGAAAGGTCCATTGAATTTCACAAATTTCTCATAAAGTGAAGAAACTAATATATTGAGTCGTATTGAAAATTGTCTGCGTCAAAGAAAACACAGTTGCAGTCAACGCCGCAGACGTAGAACCTCTCTCTGTGCGACGTCTCTGGCGTAAGAGGAGTCGTAGGAGATCCTCTAGTAAAAACTGCCATCGCCAGGGTCTGATCACCAGCAATCCTTTCTTGAACTATTTCCGTCGGTTCAGGAAGGAGTGGCGGTTGAATACGCAAAATGTTGGTGTAAAATGTCACGTAGGGATAATCAAAAATATTATGCTGAAGCTTGTAAGAGGACGACGTAGAAAGCCGTTGCAGGAGAAAGCGACGCAAGCCCAGTAGGACCAGAAGAAGACGCAGTAAAAGAAGACGCCGAAGGAGGTGGAGATCCAAATGTGTCGTTTCGTATGTCTGGTGGATGAAAAATAATATTGTCTTTCCAATTTGCTGTCTCATCATGACAATATTTGAGGGAAAATTTTATTAGATTATTGGTTGGAAGGTATTATTGCATAACAGCAGGGATAGCAATGTTATTATTTATCTACAATAAATTGTACATCTGCCGTAAAATAATCCTCGAAAAAAGCGCTAGGTGAAAGGTCCATTGAATTTCACAAATTTCTCATAAAGTGAAGAAACTAATATATTGAGTCGTATTGAAAATTGTCTGCGTCAAAGAAAACACAGTTGCAGTCAACGCCGCAGACGTAGAACCTCTCTCTGTGCGACGTCTCTGTCGTAAGAGGAGTCGTAGGAGATCCTCTAGTAAAAACTGCCATCGCCAGGGTCTGATCACCAGCAATCCTTTCTTGAACTATTTCCGTCGGTTCAGGAAGGAGTGGCGGTTGAATACGCAAAATGTTGGTGTAAAATGTCACGTAGGGATAATCAAAAATATTACGCTGAAGCTTGTAAGAGGACGACGTAGAAAGTCGTAGCAGGAGAAAGCGACGCAAGCCCAGTAGGACCAGAAGAAGACGCAGTAAAAGAAGACGTCGAAGGAGGTGGAGATCCAAATGTGTCGTTTCGTATGTCTGGTGGATGAAAAATAATATTGTCTTTCCAATTTGCTGTCTCATCATGACAATATTTGAGGGAAAATTTTATTAGATTATTGGTTGGAAGGTATTATTGCATAACAGCAGGGATAGCAATGTTATTATTTATCTACAATAAATTGTACATCTGCCGTAAAATAATCCCCGAAAGAAGCGCTAGGTGAAAGGTCCATTGAATTTCACAAATTTCTCATAAAGTGAAGAAACTAATATATTGAGTCGTATTGAAAATTGTCTGCGTCGAAGAAAACACAGTTGCAGTCAACGCCGCAGACGTAGAACCTCTGCGCGACATCTCCAACGTAAGAGGAGTAGTAGCAGATCCTCTAGTAGAAACTGTCATCGCCAGGGTCTGATCACCAGCAATCCTTTCTTGAACTATTTCCGTCGGTTCAGGAAGGAGTGGCGGTTGAATACGCAAAATGTTGGTGTAAAATGTCACGTAGGGATAATCAAAAATATTACGCTGAAGCTTGTAAGAGGACGACGTAGAAAGTCGTAGCAGGAGAAAGCGACGCAAGCCCAGTAGGACCAGAAGAAGACGCAGTAAAAGAAGACGTCGAAGGAGGTGGAGATCCAAATGTGTCGTTTCGTATGTCTGGTGGATGAAAAATAATATTGTCTTTCCAATTTGCTGTCTCATCATGACAATATTTGAGGGAAAATTTTATTAGATTATTGGTTGGAAGGTATTATTGCATAACAGCAGGGATAGCAATGTTATTATTTATCTACAATAAATTGTACATCTGCCGTAAAATAATCCCCGAAAGAAGCGCTAGGTGAAAGGTCCATTGAATTTCACAAATTTCTCATAAAGTGAAGAAACTAATATATTGAGTCGTATTGAAAATTGTCTGCGTCGAAGAAAACACAGTTGCAGTCAACGCAGAAGACGTAGAACCACTGCGCGACGTCTCCAACGTAAGAGGAGTAATAGGAGATCCTCTAGTAGAAACTGTCATCGCCAGGGTCTGATCACCAGCAATCCTTTCTTGAACTATTTCCGTCGGTTCAGGAAGGAGTGGCGGTTGAATACGCAAAATGTTGGTGTAAAATGTCACGTAGGGATAATCAAAAATATTACGCTGAAGCTTGTAAGAGGACGACGTAAAAAGGCGTAGCAGGAGAAAGCGACGCAAACCCAGTAGGACCAGAAGAAGACGCAGTAAAAGAAGACGCCGAAGGAGGTGGAGATCCAAATGTGTCGTTTCGTATGTCTGGTGGATGAAAAATAATATTGTCTTTCCAATTTGCTGTCTCATCATGACAATATTTGAGGGAAAATTTTATTAGATTATTGGTTGGAAGGTATTATTGCATAACAGCAGGGATAGCAATGTTATTATTTATCTACAATAAATTGTACATCTGCCGTAAAATAATCCTCGAAAGAAGCGCTAGGTGAAAGGTCCATTGAATTTCACAAATTTCTCATAAAGTGAAGAAACTAATATATTGAGTCGTATTGAAAATTGTCTGCGTCAAAGAAAACACAGTTGCAGTCAACGCCGCAGACGTAGAACCTCTCTCTGTGCGACGTCTCTGTCGTAAGAGGAGTCGTAGGAGATCCTCTAGTAAAAACTGCCATCGCCAGGGTCTGATCACCAGCAATCCTTTCTTGAACTATTTCCGTCGGTTCAGGAAGGAGTGGCGGTTGAATACGCAAAATGTTGGTGTAAAATGTCACGTAGGGATAATCAAAAATATTACGCTGAAGCTTGTAAGAGGACGACGTAGAAAGTCGTAGCAGGAGAAAGCGACGCAAGCCCAGTAGGACCAGAAGAAGACGCAGTAAAAGAAGACGCCGAAGGAGGTGGAGATCCAAATGTGTCGTTTCGTATGTCTGGTGGATGAAAAATAATATTGTCTTTCCAATTTGCTGTCTCATCATGACAATATTTGAGGGAAAATTTTATTAGATTATTGGTTGGAAGGTATTATTGCATAACAGCAGGGATAGCAATGTTATTATTTATGTATGTGCTACGCCACTGGCAAAATGGGTTTCGACCATCTCCCGCAGGAGCGCGCCACCATCCAGCGCGCAGCCTACCACTGCCGACCGGAAGACCGTTGAATTTTGAACGGTCCAATGGGATGCCTTCCTCTCGGAGCGACCAGGAGAGAGGCCGGAAGAAGCTACCATTTTGACCATAACCAGAAAATCTGTTCGGTATAGACAATTTTTCAATTACGACAGTTTCTCATGAAATGTACATACAATACATTGAACAAAAACATAAATGTAATCAATAAAAATACAGTCCACTATACACAACAATTTATCTACAATAAATTGTACATCTGCCGTAAAATAATCCTCGAAAGAAGCGCTAGGTGAAAGGTCCATTGAATTTCACAAATTTCTCATAAAGTGAAGAAACTAATATATTGAGTCGTATTGAAAATTGTCTGCGTCAAAGAAAACACAGTTGCAGTCAACGCCGCAGACGTAGAACCTCTCTCTGTGCGACGTCTCTGTCGTAAGAGGAGTCGTAGGAGATCCTCTAGTAAAAACTGCCATCGCCAGGGTCTGATCACCAGCAATCCTTTCTTGAACTATTTCCGTCGGTTCAGGAAGGAGTGGCGGTTGAATACGCAAAATGTTGGTGTAAAATGTCACGTAGGGATAATCAAAAATATTACGCTGAAGCTTGTAAGAGGACGACGTAGAAAGTCGTAGCAGGAGAAAGCGACGCAAGCCCAGTAGGACCAGAAGAAGACGCAGTAAAAGAAGACGTCGAAGGAGGTGGAGATCCAAATGTGTCGTTTCGTATGTCTGGTGGATGAAAAATAATATTGTCTTTCCAATTTGCTGTCTCATCATGACAATATTTGAGGGAAAATTTTATTAGATTATTGGTTGGAAGGTATTATTGCATAACAGCAGGGATAGCAATGTTATTATTTATCTACAATAAATTGTAAGGTAAAGTCGCCTAATATGAGACCGTTCCTAATATGAGACCCTAGATGATCGTCTCTGTAGAGTCCTGTAAGCCCACATTCATATGATTTACAGGTTACTAGTGGTATAGTATGGGCCCTCTCCTCTAGATGGCGCAATATTTCATTTAACAGCTGTTTAATGCGAGATTTGTTAAAATTTGTACTGTGAAGTTTTTTACCGTTTTCCCTTTATATATTTACTTTATCATCATGGTAAGTATATTTTGGTTTGTAATATGATTTGTATGTAGTACAACAAATGTAGTCTTATTCCCACCTTTTCTTTATCCATTCGAAATACAACAAACTAACCTATAATTTTTTTTCTAAATGTGTTGTTGGTTCCAAATATGAGACCCTCTGGGGTTCCCATTATGAGGAGGGTCTCATATTAGGACCCCGATATTTATATAGAATTTTTTCAGGGGAGTTCTTCTAAACGTCGCAAACAATGGAACAAGGGGCAAATGGTGTTGGCGATTAAAGCAGTTCGAACTCATGTCATGGGTTACAAGACAGCGGCGAAACATTTTCAAGTACCGAAAGGTACCCTTGAACGTTATGTTAAAAACATTAATTTTTCTCCTGAAGAACTCGTTCGTACAACACTTGGTAGAAAACCTGCTTTAGGAAAAGCTATCGAGGATGAGCTAGTTCGATACTGTCTCGATATGGATAATAGGTTTTTTGGTCTGCGAAGATCTGATGTAAAACGCATGGCCTTCGAGTTGGCAATTGCTAATAATATCCAGCACCCATTTTCACAGGAAAAAGGCGTTGCAGGAAAAAAATGGCTTAGAGGATTTTTCAAACGTAATCCCCAGCTGTCTGTTAGGTCACCTCAAGGCATGTCCAATGCCAGAATACGGGGATTCAATCAAGAAAGCGTTGCTTCATTCTTCGATTTGTACGAAAAGGAATTATCGAAAATCAATTTTGCACCACAAAGGTTGTTTAACGTGGATGAGACAGGGATTAGTGTGGTGCAACATAAAAGAAGTAAGGTCATTTCTGCTAAAGGTAAAAAGCAAGTAGCAACACTTACATCAGCTGAAAGGGGAGGCCTTATTACAGTGGTGACATGCATGAATGCCGTAGGAACTTACGTACCGCCTTTAATTGTGTGGCCTAGAAAAAATATGAAAATTGAATTGATGGACGGTGCGCCAACCGGTTCCATTTACGCATGTCACCCTTCTGGATGGATTCAAGCCGAAATATTTACACAATGGTTTGACCATTTTATTAAATTCACAAAGCCAACACCATCAGATCCTGTGTTATTGGTGCTCGATGGACACTACTCCCATACGCGTAACATAGACGTAATAAATAAAGCTAGAGAAAACCACGTATCAATTGTTTGCCTACCTCCCCACAGCACACATCGCATGCAACCGTTGGATGTAGGATTCATGGGGCCTCTGAAAACGTACTATGCTCAGGAAATTGAGACTTGGCTGCGAAACAACCCTGATCGTATTGTCACGCCATTTATCATTGCAAGACTATTTTCAGTTGCATATAACAGAGCAGCCACTATGGAGGTTTCGGTGAACTCGTTTAGAACAACGGGACTATTTCCGCTTAATAGAAATATTTTCCGAGATCATGACTTCTCAGTGTTCGAAGTTGAGGAGAAATTAACAGTCCCTGAAGATACTGTAAGTCGTCCTCCACCGGGATCTTCCACAGAATCTAGAAACATTGAATATACTTCAGGAAAATCAGAAGGTATCAGTTGCATTAAAACAGCTTTAGATAGGGGGGAACTTCCAAAGATTCTAGCGATATTGAGGATGCCGCAGATGATCCACGGCCGGGAAATTCAAAAGAGTCCAATGATCAGGGGGCTGTAAATAGTTCTCGTAAAGCCGTCAAATACCTTTCAGAACCTACAAAGCTTGTCAGTCCAGTGCAGATAAAACCTCTTCCCAAAATAAAGAGCAAGAAGCCCAGTGCTCGTGCAGGCAGTGCAGCATTGATTACCTCATCTCCTTACAAAGATGATTTAACAGAAAGTTTGGATAGAAACGTAAAAAGGAAGATTCCGCAAAACATAGCAAAGTTACATCAGTTACAAAGAAGGTTAAGTTTGACGATGCAAGGGAAGCAAAGTTTCGCAAACCAAAAAGTACTAAACGGTTTAAAAGAAGAGGGCCGATTTAAGTGACAGCTCAACTGATGAAAGCGATGACTTGGGAGAAGTTGTTGTTGATGATGAGAGTGATGGTGACGAAAATTATGACGCAGAATGCCTCTTCTGCACAAGCATGTATTCTGCAGACAAGCATGGTGAACAGTGGGTTAGGTGTACAGTGTGCTACAGATGGGCCCATGAAGATTGTGGTGCAGAAGATCCTATCTTTGTGTGCCCAATGTGTGAAAAAAAACAGAAAAAGTAACTATATAATGTATTTTTATGGTCTATTTACTCTAAATAATGTTATTTGGAAGAAATTTGTAGGGTCTCATATTAGGAACCCAATTTTTTTTAGTTACTTTTTACATTTTATGAGTATTGTAGCTTTATTTGAAAAAATAATAAAAAAGTACACTTTCGTTCCGTGTTTTTTAAAGCATAAACCCTTACCAATAAAACAAATCAGTAATAACTTAAAATTTGTTATTTTTACAGAAATTATAGATGTTTTCCAAAATGGGTCTCATATTAGGCGACTTTACCTTACATCTGCCGTAAAATAATCCTCGAAAAAAGCGCTAGGTGAAAGGTCCATTGAATTTCACAAATTTCTCATAAAGTAAAGAAACTAATATATTGAGTCGTATTGAAAATTGTCTGCGTCGAAGAAAACACAGTTGTAGTCAACGCCGCAGACGTAGAACCTCTCTCTGTGCGACGTCTCTGTCGTAAGAGGAGTCGTAGGAGATCCTCTAGTAAAAACTGCCATCGCCAGGGTCTGATCACCAGCAATCCTTTCTTGAACTATTTCCGTCGGTTCAGGAAGGAGTGGCGGTTGAATACGCAAAATGTTGGTGTAAAATGTCACGTAGGGATAATCAAAAATATTACGCTGAAGCTTGTAAGAGGACGACGTAGAAAGTCGTAGCAGGAGAAAGCGACGCAAGCCCAGTAGGACCAGAAGAAGACGCAGTAAAAGAAGACGCCGAAGGAGGTGGAGATCCAAATGTGTCGTTTCGTATGTCTGGTGGATGAAAAATAATATTGTCTTTCCAATTTGCTGTCTCATCATGACAATATTTGAGGGAAAATTTTATTAGATTATTGGTTGGAAGGTATTATTGCATAACAGCAGGGATAGCAATGTTATTATTTATCTACAATAAATTGTACATCTGCCGTAAAATAATCCTCGAAAGAAGCGCTAGGTGAAAGGTCCATTGAATTTCACAATTTCTCATAAAGTGAAGAAACTAATATATTGAGTCGTATTGAAAATTGTCTGCGTCAAAGAAAACACAGTTGCAGTCAACGCCGCAGACGTAGAACCTCTCTCTGTGCGACGTCTCTGTCGTAAGAGGAGTCGTAGGAGATCCTCTAGTAAAAACTGCCATCGCCAGGGTCTGATCACCAGCAATCCTTTCTTGAACTATTTCCGTCGGTTCAGGAAGGAGTGGCGGTTGAATACGCAAAATGTTGGTGTAAAATGTCACGTAGGGATAATCAAAAATATTACGCTGAAGCTTGTAAGAGGACGACGTAAAAAGTCGTAGCAGGAGAAAGCGACGCAAACCCAGTAGGACCAGAAGAAGACGCAGTAAAAGAAGACGCCGAAGGAGGTGGAGATCCAAATGTGCCGTTTCGTATGTCTGGTGGATGAAAAATAATATTGTCTTTCCAATTTGATGTCTCATCATGACAATATTTGAGGGAAAATTTTATTAGATTATTGGTTGGAAGGTATTATTGCATAACAGCAGGGATAGCAATGTTATTATTTATCTACAATAAATTGTACATCTGCCGTAAAATAATCCTCGAAAAAAGCGCTAGGTGAAAGGTCCATTGAATTTCACAAATTTCTCATAAAGTGAAGAAACTAATATATTGAGTCGTATTGAAAATTGTCTGCGTCAAAGAAAACACAGTTGCAGTCAACGCCGCAGACGTAGAACCTCTCTCTGTGCGACGTCTCTGTCGTAAGAGGAGTCGTAGGAGATCCTCTAGTAAAAACTGCCATCGCCAGGGTCTGATCACCAGCATCCTTTCTTGAACTATTTCCGTCGGTTCAGGAAGGAGTGGCGGTTGAATACGCAAAATGTTGGTGTAAAATGTCACGTAGGGATAAGCAAAAATATTACGCTGAAGCTTGTAAAGGACGACGTAAAAAGTCGTAGCAGGAGAAAGCGACGCAAAACCCAGTAGGACCAGAAGAAGACGCAGTAAAGAAGACGCCGAAGGAGGTGGAGATCCAAATGTGTCGTTTCGTATGTCTGTGGATGAAAAATAATATTGTATTTCCAATTTGGTGTCTCATCTTGACAATATTTAAGATTGCAGATACTGTGGAAAATGCTGCAGCTTAAATTTGAGGGAAAATATTATTAGATTATTGGTTGGAAGGTATTATTGCTAACAGCAGGGATAGCAATGTTATTATTTATCTACAATAAATTGTACATCTGCCGTAAAATAATCCTCGAAAGAAGCGCTAGGTGAAAGGTCCATTGAATTTCACAAATTTCTCATAAAGTGAAGAAACTAATATATTGACTGGTATTGAAAATTGTCTGCGTCGAAGAAACACAGTTGCAGTCAACGCCGCAGACGTAGAACCACTGCGCGACGTCTCCAACGTAGAGGAGTAGTAGGAGATCCTCTAGTACAGCGGTTCCCAAACTGTGCTCCGCGGAGCACAAGGTGCTCCGTGTACGTTTTCAAGTGCTCTCCGCGGATTTCATCTGAGAAATATCGTATTCAAGTAATACCTATAATGTTATATTTTCCTTGATGTTACATCAAGCCCCTTACTAATGCAAAGATTCGCCGCGCCGCACTTCAATGTACTGTGCGCCGGAACAGTTCGGAAACAATCGTATTTTTCGTATTAATGCTAGGATATGACTTGTTCTTTCCGGAACATACGATTTACGTTCGCTAAATGTGTGTCGGGTGCATCGTAAAGAGATAACACAGTTTTTATTTATTTTTTGCGATTGTGCCTTTGAATTTCACTAATTGGAATTGAGTTGGGATAAGTTAATCATTCGTAAGTAGGTTAACTAACATACATGTATCATTTTTTATGGTGAAATATCTATGCCCAGTTAAATTTACTTGTTTTAATAATGGATCTTTGGCTTAAAAACAGTGTTTTGAAGAAAACAGCGATTTCAGCTACAGATGCAGAAATGCAGGGATCTAACTCCACAGGTACGGATTTGTACATTTTAAGGTAGGGGAAATACTGGTAAAATGGGATACTTACGTTTTGACGTGAAATAAAAATTACTGTATAAGTGGCAACGCATATTTCGTTTTAGGCATATTTCCCCTACTACAAAAGCAGTTTTTTGTGCTTGTGTGTGAGTTTTTTGGGAACGGGTAGGTGCCAGATTTTTAAAATCTTATTTTTAAAAGTATTTGTCTGAATCGAGTATTGTTTTTAGCAATATGGAAAAAGAAAATAGGGAAATAGCTCACACTGAAGACACAGAATTGCAGATATTGAGAAAATCCGAGTCTGTTGCGAGTGTACTAACATCAGCTGAAGTAATTGATTGTCAAACATCTGGTCCATCAAAGATGAGTATTTGTGAGAGAAAAACTGCAAAACGAAAAACCATGATTCTTATCTGGATATAGGATTCATTGAAACCAACGACAATAAACCACAATGTGTAATATGCGGTAAAGTGTTACCCAACAGTGCTATGTTTCCAGCGAAAATGCGACGACATTTGGAAGGAGTTCATCCTGAATGTAAAGACAAACCGAATGATTTTTTCAAAGAAAATCCAGTGAATTAAAAAATACACAAAAAAGTATAACTTTTCATGCACAGACACTGAACGAAAGGTCGTTAAAAGCATCCTACTTAGTTAGTTACCGAATCGCTAAAGCAGGCAAGCCTCATGTTATTGCTGAAACTTTAATCAAGCCTTGCGTCAAAGATATAGTTGAAACTATGATGGATGAAAAGGATGTGAAACTAGTTACTACAGTTCCACTATCAAATAACACTATTTCTAGGCGCATTGTAGAAATGGCTGATGACGTAAAAAACACTTTAATTTCTCGAATAAAAGGTAGTTCCTTTTCGCTACAGCTTGATGAATCGACAGATGTGGCTGGATTGGCTGTATTGATAGTTTTTGTTCGCTTCCAATTTGGCAACACTTTTCAAGAAGATTTGCTTTTTTGCAAGCCACTACCAACTAGTACTACTGGGGCTGAGATTTTCAAATTGCTTGACGAATTTTTTGTTGCACATGATATACCTTGGAAGAATTGCATTGATGTATGCACCGATGGCGCAAAGGCTATGACTGGAAAAACAAGTGGTGTTGTAGCTAGAATTAAAGAAAAAAATAGTAACTGCAATAATAGTCACTGTGTTCTTCATCGTCATGCATTAGCCGTCAAAAAAATGTCACCTTCCTTAAAAGAAGTTTTGGATGAATGTGTAAGAATAATTAATTATATCAAATCTCGCCCCCTAAATTCCAGGTTGTTTAAAATATTGTGTGATGATATGGGTAGTCTACATACGACTTTACTGCTTCATACGGAGGTAAGATGGCTCTCACGGGGCAAAACTTTAACTCGGCTATTTGAATTAAGAGCCGAAGTAAGGAGTTTTTTGATGGAAAGTGACTTCGCATTAAAAGGGAGATTTAACGAAGAGCAATGGATATCAAAGTTGGCATATCTGGCTGATATTTTTTCTAAAGCTAATGATTTAAGCACGTCACTTCAAGGAAAGTCAATTTCTGTTTTTGATGTTAACGACAGAATAAAAGCGTTTAAAAGAAAATTGGTCTTTTGGGCAGAGTCCCTGAATAAACAAAATTTGGACAGCTTTCCGTCGTTAAAAGAACTTAAAGAAGAATTTGATTTTGATCTACCAAATGATCTTATGAACGAGTTCTATATTCATCTTGAAACTTTACGCAATAATTACCAGGAATATTTTCCAGAAGAATTTCATGACAAAATGAATTACAATTCTTGGGTTGCAAACCCATATAACGCAATACCTGAAAAGCCAGCGAGTTTAACATCTGAAGAATATGAATGTTTGATCGACTTGACATCTGATTCTGGAATACGAGATATATTTCTAACAAAGTCATCAATAATAGAATTTTGGTGTAAACTTAGACATGAATTTCATCTTCTGTCAGATAAAGCAAAAACTATTCTGCTCCCTTTTGCTACTACTTATTTATGTGAAGCTGGATTTTCTGCTTATCTTATGACCAAAACTAAATACCGGTCGCGTCTTAATACAGAACCTGATATTCGTTTACAGTTGTCTGAAATTGAACCTAACATCACAGCATTAAGCAAATTAACAAGCACATCCTTCTCATTAGAAAAGTTGGTGGTTTTATTAAGTAGTTGTAGTTTTGTTTTTGGATGTATGTTTTATGTTTCATTTTTGTATCGAAATAAGTTTTTGTTTTATGTTATTTTCACACATTACTTTTAAAATTTGCTTTTGGCTTATATTAGGTATATTTAATAAATATTACATTTTTTTCTGTGCTAGAGTTAGTTGTTCTTTTTGTTTAATAAATATTTGTTTCTTCAATGTACGTTTCTAAAATTGAACAAAGACCTATATCCAGTTGCAGGCAGTTGAAACCATCAAACAGCCTACTCTAGTGCTCCGCGTTAAATTTTCCTGTCCAAAAGTGCTCCGCGACTTAAAAAGTTTGGGAACCGCTGGTGTAGAACATGGACATTACGAGTATACCCGCTTACCATATGGTTTGAAAAATGCCCCAAGTACATTTCAGAGAGTAGTTGACAATGTTTTACAAGGATTACAAGGCAAAGTTTGTTTAGTAATATGGACGATATTATAATTTTTTCCACTAGTCTTGAAGAACATATTGCAAATTTGAAATTAGTATTTCGGAGACTAAGGGACACACAATTGAAAATTCAACCAGACAAATGTGAATTTTATGCAAAGAAGTTGAATATTTAGGACACGTAGTTACTTGTGATGGTGTAAAACCGAATCCCAAAAAGATACAAGCAATAACACAATTCCCAATTCCAAAAACAGTCAAAGAAATCAAATCGTTCCTAGGTCTTTTAGGTTATTATAGACGCTTTATCGAAAATTTTGCCAAATTAACAAAACCACTTACGAAATGTCTTAAGAAAGGATCAAAAATTGAACATAATGCAGAATTTATCAAAGCTTTTGAAACTTGCAAAAATATTCTAACCAACGAACCTATTTTACAATACCCAGATTTTGAAAAGTCTTTTATTTTGACTATTGATGCCTCAAATTACGCAATAGGTTGTATTCTTAGCCAAGGAAAAGTAGGACAGGATCGACCGATTGCCTATGCATCACGAACTCTAAATCCAGCAGAATGTAATTATAGTACAATAGAAAAAGAATTATTAGCAGTAGTATATGGTGTGAAATACTTCAAACCATATCTATGGGGACGTGAGTTTACCATAGTTAGCGACCACAAACCCCTCGAATATTTGTTTAACATGAAAGAACATAACCCCAGACTTTTACGTTGGAAACTGTTTCTTGAACAGTTCAATTACAAAATTCAATATAAACCTGGAAAAATAAATAGCAATGTTGATGCTTTATCTCGCGTAGAACTTAACGCCATCCAAGATGAAACGGATCAGTCAATAATTGCAAATCTTGGAGATTCTGATGAAGATATCCTTCAGTTTCTACAAGACGATGATAACCCCGAAATAAATATTGAAGACTTACAAGAACTAGAGGAATTTCTCATCCCTGAAGTTCCTGATAACTCTAACAAAATACAAATAATTTCAGATATCCAAATTGTACCCCCTCAGCCAAGTAATGACAGTATTACAGTCCATACAGCAGTAGAAAACCCCATATTAGAGATACCCTTCACTGAATGTTACTAACAAATTTTCGAATCAGATAATTATAGAACGAAATCATCCTATCGATATCATATTGTAAGGACTAAGCCCTTCGAAAATGTTAATAAAATACAGTTACAGCTTAGCGATAACATAGAGGAAGAAATCATAAAGTTTTTCAAAGACTATGTTGATCCAAACAAAGTATATTGTATTTTTGTCAAAGGTTCAGAAATTGAAGATTTAAATATCCAGATTAGCAAAATACTACCATTGTATTTCAAAAACCACGCATATAAACTTTATTTTTCTAATCAGCTTGTTAGAGATATTTCAGACAAAGACAGACAAAAAGAATTAATCTCTCATCATCATGAAACAAAGACTTGTCACAGAGGAATTAACGAAACGTTACTTTCCCTTAAAAAACTATACTACTGGAAGAATATGCAAAAAATGGTAACAGAATACATAAATAATTGTGAGTTATGTCAAGTAGCAAAGTATGACAGACATCCACCAAAAATAAAATTTTCACTTACACCAACGCCAAAGCAACCCCTAGAAGTCTTACATATGGACACTTTCCAATTTTCTAACACAAAATTTCTTACTGTTATTGATTCATTTTCAAAATATGCACAAGCCTATCATTTAGATCCAGTTGTACAGCCACAACAGTGTATGAAAATATTTTGATATTTGTGAATCATCACGGCATTCCTCAATCTGTTACTACTGATAACGGAAGAGAATTCAATAATTCCTTATTTACTGAATTTTGTAAATTACACAAAATCCAGCTTCACTTTACTACACCATGTAATTCGA